ACACAATAATTAATTTAACAATATCTGACAGATTGGATAACAAAATCTGGCATCAGTGTGTCCTTAGCATGAAATGAAGCTAATGTTCCTGAGAATACTTTATGCCTGATGCAGTGCTACTTCTACAAGGGTAACTTCTCCCCACCAAGGATCAAAATTTTAAAGCAGGAGAAGAGTACAAAAAAGGAGAGTGAAGAAAGAGAAATTGTGATGTTGGGTATGCATGACTGCCTACGACTGTCAAGACTCCAGACACACTGTTGAGGGTCGAGATAAGGACTGCCTGCCCATCAAGCAGAATATTTAAAAGTGGCATGTGAAATGTGTTTATGTATAATTATATCACCTATCTCCCTACATGCTGGTGAAATGATAAACTGTTTTTTTTTAATTATTTACCTTTGCGTTTGTCTATGATTTCAGCAACACAGAATCAATTGTCTTTATAAAAAAAGAGAGAGAGAAAGAAGTGGAACACTGACCAGTTAAAAGGGACAAATATGCAATTGTGGAAACATTCCACGTAAACATCTGCTCAGGGGATGTTAACAGGAACAGACCATCACTATGGATCCAACCTGATATTTCCAATAATTTGACAGTGATTCACTAGCTCAGAGGAAGCTGATTCAGCATAAACACTTATTTCTCCTCACATTCTGGAACAACACTGCACCTCATGCAATCACCCAGGAGACAAAGGTTGGTTTAAATACATCCGTACTACATTGTCGAACTTAATGAGGAAGATGCAGTGTAGCATTCAACCATTTATCAATTGGAACCACATAAAAGTGAAAGCCTAATTGCTAGTTATAAAAGTGAACGAGTGCTTGCTTTTAAGTATAATTAATTAGAGAACTGTAGACAAGAAAATGGATGGTGGTGTTGCAAGCAGGTAGGATTAATTTTGTAGTGCAAAGGTCCCTTTTCCCATCCTTACATAGCTGCAAGTTGTTTGAAGGGATAAATAAAGTAATCCTGACCTTTATTTCCTCCTTTTGCATGATTAATTATTTAATATCCCATTAATTGAAAAATGAACTTGAATTTCAGAAGCATTCATTTTGTTCAGCATATCAGTCTGTAGAGAAAGTACCAATTGTGCTGTTTATCAAAGGTGAACAGACAAGGTCATCTAGGCTGCACCTCTTCAGTTATTCATTATCTTGTCCACGTTAGTAATTAACAATGAAAACATTTCCATAAATCAGAATCTTAGTAGTATTCACAAACTGAAGAACAATCAGAAAGTCCCTCTTTTTCTCTTCTTCCTACCCTTCCCCACTGCCCTAAACATAAAGTATTTTTGTAATCAAGCATATTGTATATATATATAAATACTCCAAATGTATGGCTGTTTATTTATTTTCATTGTTACATCAATAAACATTCTGGGAATATTCCCTATCATGTTACTGTTATACTTTGAAGGTAGCTATTACAGTACTATTATCGTACTGCAAAATCTGGACTGAAAAATGAAAAGGTGATTTGGACTTGGAAATTTTGTTACAATGCAGTCTGATTCTACAACTGTTGACATTCATTTTTTCTCATTAATCTACACTCAGTACCCCATAATGACAAAGTGAAAACAGAATTTTAGAAATGTCAGTAAGTTTATTAAAAATAAAAAAAACTGAAATATCACATTAGCATAAGCATTCAGACCCTCCATTCAGTACTTTGTTGAAGCACCTTTACAACAATTACAGCCTTGAGTCTTTTGGGGTATGACGTGACAAGATTTGCACACCTGGATTGGGGGATTTTCTGCCATTCTTCCATGCAAATCCTCTCAAGCTAAGTCAGGTTGGATGTGACTGTCGGTGGACAGCCATTTTCAGGTTCCTCCAGAGATGTTCTATACTAGGGTTCAAGTCAGAGCTCTGGCCAAGCCACTCTAGGACATCCCCAGAATTGTCCCTAAGCCACTCCTGTATTGTCTTGGCTGTGTGCTTAGGATCACTGTTATGGTGGGGAATATGTTTTCACTGAGAATATCCTGCTCCATTTTGCTTTCCTTCAACCCTGACCAGTCTCCCAGTCCCTGCTGCTGAAAAACACCTCCACAGCATGATGCTACCACCACCATGTTTCATTTGTTGGGATGATATTGGATAGGTGATGAGCAGTGCCTGGTTTCCTCCAGACATGTAACATTTAGAATTGAGGCCAAGCAATTCAATCTTGGTTTCATCAGATCAGAGAAACTGGTCCTCAAAGTCTGAGAATCTTTCAGGTGTTTTTTTGCAAACTCCAAGCGGGTTTTGTGTGTTTTACACCGAGGAGAGGTTTCTGTCTAGTTACTTTGTCATAAAGCCCAGGGAGGACAGCTGCAGTGATGGTTGTCATTCTGGAACTCTGTCCCATCTCCACACAGGATCTCTGGAGCTCAATCAGAGTGACTATCAGGTTCTTGGTCACCTGTCTTACTAAGGCCCTTCTCCCCCAATTGCTCTGTTTGATGGATGACCAGCTCTTGGAAGAGTCTTGGTTGTGCCAAACCTCTTCCATTTGAGAATTATGGAGGCCACTGTGCTTTTAAGAATCTTCAGTGTAGTAGAAATTTTATTGTAGCATTCCCCAGATCTGTGCCTTGCAATAATCCTGTCTCTGAACTCTGCAGGAAGTTCCTTTGACCTCACGGCTTTTGCTCTGCCACACTATGAATTGTCAGCTGTGAGGTCTCCTCTAGAGAGGTATGTGTCTTTCTAAATCATGTTAATTTACCACATGTCAATTCCAATCAAGGTGCAGTAACATGTCAGCAACGATCAAGAGAACTGGGAGGCACCAGAGCTAAATTTCAAATGTTGTTGCAAAGGATCTGAATACTTATGCCCAGTGCTTTTTTTCTTTAAAAAAAAAAGGGGGGTGCCAGAACTCACACACGTCATACAACCCACCTTGCCTACCCTACAAGGTTCCATCCAGAAAAGGTGCTGGAACTCCGTTCTGGGTGTTTTATGAGAAAAAAAGCCCTGCTTATGCCAATGTCACATTTTTAATAAATTTACAGACATTTCTAAAATTCTGTTTTCACTTTGTCATTATGGGGTACTGAGTGTAGATTAATGAGAAAAAATAAACAACTATAGAATCAGGCTGCAACGTAACAAAACTGACAAAAGTTGCAAAATAAAGCCTAGCACAGTGTTTCTCAACCTTGACAATTTTAAGATATGTGGACTTCAACTCCCAGAATTCCACAGCCAGCAATGCTGGCTGTGGAATTCTGGGAATTGAAGTCCACATGCCTTAAAATTGTCAAGGTTGAGAAACACTGCGCCTAGCACAACACAGATGTAACTCATCTAATCATTTACATGAAGTTCGATATAGCACTTTAAAAGAGAGAGAGAGAAATTCCCAGGCAAGCTGCCAAGCATGTAGATAACTGCTTCTTTCCTCTCAACACTCCACTCCCACATTCCCCATCCAGTCAAAATCAACTGCCAACAGGATTAGAATTGGCTTGAAAATATTTGAAAAAAAAACAATACATACAACAATCCAGTAATAATCCACAAAAGAAGGCCAATCAGTGCCCTGAGCAGTTAGAACAATCCAAAGAATGCCGTTTGAAACAACTAAGCTTTGTTCCATGCTGGGGGGGGGGGGGAACAGCATGTTTTGTTTCAACTTCAAAACCAAACTGTCAAAACTGTGTTTTTGTTGCACACATACAACACTTAAAATAAGTGTTGTACGGTAGAAATCTTTTGCACATCCCTCGTTTAGAAATTGCAGATCTATCGGATATCAAGCATACATATTCCTTCATTGCTGTGGAGTTTGTGCAGTATAAATTACAATCACATTTTTTTTGTTAACATCTGAGTGCAACAGCTTTAATTATTTTGTTTTTACCTGCTTTGAAGGTGATTTTACTGTATTCTATTTTGAAATTTGAATGTGAATGACTTAAATGAATATTCTGCCAAGCATTTTGTTTGACTACTATGTTACTTTCCTTTCCAAAACTATATATAGTATTCCCTCTCCCAAAATTCTATGAGGTAGGTTTGCTTGAGAAACAGGGACTGCCATGTCTCCAAGTGAACTTCCATGGCTGAGGATGAATCTGGACTTTAGCCTGTTTGGTCCTAGTCTAATGTTTTAAAATCATTCCAACCGGGTAAACACCAAATTGTTAGAAGCTCTCTTTGCTAATTCATAGTGTTATTACCATATATGCCGGCATATAAGATGACTTCTGGAAGCGCTGAACTCAGCGCCAAAGACGGGGGTCGTCTTATACGCCGAGTCGTCTTATACGTCAGAAATACTGGTAGTTTCCGGCGTATAAGATGACGTTCTAGGAATGCGGCTCGGCGATAAAGATGGGGGCCGTCTTATACGCCGGGTCGCCTAATACGCTGGCATATACGGTATCTGGAAAGATGCAAGACTATTGTTCAGTATTCCAGCAATTCCATCTTCTGGGTCATAGAGCACTTCACTGGAAACTCAATACTCCTTTTCCCCTTTTCCATCCATACCTGGGTCTTGATCATGGGTAGTGCCCATTTTGGTTACGTAAGCAATGACCGCACTAGCATATCTTGCAAACTAGGGAAATTATAGTGCAAAAGTAGAATCTTTATGCGCTGAGTATTGCAGTGTCTTTTATAAGATAAAAGAAAGAACAAATCTGAACTTAATATGCAGTGTAATTGTTTTAGTCAGTGTATTGCTAGCTCCAAAAGTCTGAGCTGGTGTATACAAATGTAGGTTATTTTTTTACTGTAATTCTGTTAAAGTGGGGTACAATAAGCATATATTTATAGTAAAGCTAGATCTAGAAGCCTATCAAGTTAAATACATTATATCTTCTTTCATTTGAGAATGCAGGTAATTCTTATCACAACCTCATTCGTTCTACTATATTGTTCCCCGGGGAACAGTTTTCAAGTTAAACAGAGCGGGCACAAAACATGCATCCAGTCACATCCCACAAAATATCTGTTTTTATCAACACTCTGGACACTTACCAAGAGGCATCTGAGGAGGGAGGTAATGAGGCTCTTGAGCACTAACATGGACCCAGTCAAAATCATCATAGGGATCCTGATGATAATCACAGGGGCCCGGGCCATCTTCAAAGGTGCAACCTCCTAAAAGAAAGAAAAGAAAAAGCAAATTATATAATTAGACGTACACATTTTTTTAAAAAAAACACAGGTTTTTGGTCAAACTATAGTTTCCTTCAGTGAGCCTCTGAAGCAGAAAATCGTCATTCATCATTTCTTGTCAGCAAATTGGGGCAGTCAGCATCTTTTGATGTGGCCTTTCTCTCTTTCACAAATTGCCTCTTCCAGTCTTAGCAAAAGAATGATTCTAGAATCTAGCGAGTGGCTGCTATTACCCAGAAAGGCTATATATGAAGTAATATTGACATAACAATGCCACAAAGAAGAAGAGGAAATCTTTGATGAAAAACTGAAGTCGTGAAACTGCAAAACTGATCTGAATTCGCTAAGCAGCCTAGTGTGACTCTCCAGCCCTCAGGCTGTGTTATGATAAAGTCAGGGTTAGCGTTGATTTTAAAAATAATTATGTTGGACATACCATATTGAGAATACAGGTAGTCTTCGAATTACGACCACAATTGAGCCCAAAATTTTTTGTTCCTAAGTGAGACATTTGGTTAGTGAATTTTGCCCCATTTCATGTCATAGTTGTTAAGTGAATTACTGCAGCTGTCATGGTTGCTAAGTGAATCTAGATTCCCCAGAAGGTTGCAAAAAGGGATCACATGATCACAGGACACTACAACTGTCATAAATTATGAGTCAGTTTCCAAATGTCCGGATTTTGATCATGTGACCATGGGGATTCTGCAATGAACATAAGTGTAAAAAAACAGCCATAAGTCACTTTTTTCAGTGCCATTGTAACTTCAAATGGTTATTAAATGAACTGTTGTAAGTTGAGGACTACCTGTATGGAATAGTTAAAAACCCATTAAAGGTCTCAGCACAAGAAGCATTTTATAGACAAGAAATAATAATAGGCAAATGAAAATATTTAAATTCTGTCAAGGCGAATATATAATAAAATCCCAGGAAGAACTAGTGGCAGAGTGATATAGTTGCCAATGGTTTACAATGGTCAGAATTTACATTATCACAAAGATTATATACATATACCTACAAACCCAAACACTAAGACTTTGCCAAGAAAACGGCACCACAAATCTGCACCACAAATACTATGTCGTAGAAGTAGAAGAGTAGGAGATACAGAACATTACTGTAGATTATACAGTCCATCAACAATAGAAATAATTTCCATGCCCATTTTTTAAAAAAAATCTAAGATCTTTATAATCTGTTATTAGCAGTTATTTAAAGAAGAGTGTGAAATGGAGATGCATGAAGTAAAGAGAGGACAAATTAAGGATAACATGCCATCAAAAATACCTTCATCTATCCAATTCTTAATACTGAATCAAACATGTCATTCAACAAAATTAGAAAGAAATATACAATGGAATACACACTAATATTGTCATTACTACTGACTTCATTTCATGTTTTTGAGAAGTCTCAATCAATCATAAAAGAAGACACTGTGCACATTAATAGTAATATTTTTAATGACAAGGCAACATGACTTTTACAGAAATGTAAAACCCAGAAGAGACCTGCCTTGGAGAAAAGCAAACCAATAGTTTCCCTTGAATCTTAGTGGTCATTTTCAATTATTCAAGAATCAATGAAGAATCAATAAAGAAAAAAAACAGGAATGAAAAGAATGAATGAAATGAACATGAATTCTGAGAGTAATTCTAGTATGTATTAGTCTTCCCCAACCAGGTCTCTTTCAGATGTATTAAGTACAACTTTTTAAGCCCTAACTTTCTGAACCAACTGCTTTGTTGGACTTTTCTACTCAAAGCATTCGGGTTGAAGTTGAAGATAAGAAATTCTGTGGGTCTCCTTAACAAGCTGCCTTCTGCCATACTGGAAATAATGTAGATCAAATACAATAGTAAAAGTAAGTAGCTTCAAGGACAATACATCTCAATCACATAAATTTTGCAGCTACTGTTGTTGTCTCAGCCAACATCCTTGTTATCAGCTGCTAAAAATTCTTATGAAAATGAAAAGAATGATAAGAAAAGATAATCTGTGATAATATCAAAGGAAATGGCTGCCTGTGAACATGTGCACTGATCTTCTATATCCAGTAGCGTTTATAAACTGTAGGCTCAAAACTAGTTTTTAAAATCAGACTACAGATCAAAGAGACAAAGCAGAATGATGTATAATATTACATTAGCAAAATTGGGCTCTTAATTTGTGATATCAAACAAAATGTTAGAAATGCTTTGGTGTATGATAATTCGGTCTGATGACAAGTGTGAATTATTTACTAATCCTATTTAAATATTTTTCTAAATGATTAAGGATGGCTACACTGAGTGATTCAAATGTATGTTATAAAACACACTTTTGATGACCCTTGTGTACCAAAGCACATAGACATTCATATAGTTTGCATACAGAGGCTGTGATACAAGACAAAGTAGGGGCACTAGTTTTACCTCTCATAAGGTTATCTCTGCAATTACACAATACCTTGTTATCTCTGCAATTCACAATACCCTTGTGAATTTCTCTTGAAAAATTGAAGAATATGCAAGTATGTGTGTGTGTATGGGAGGGAATCTAAATAAACCAGTCAACATAGGAAGAGGGCAGAACTATACATTACAGTAGTCCTGTTCTTTTCTCCAGGTCTACTGTGGACTAATTATTTTTAACAGGGCTATTATACCATAATAATTCTATGTTTCTTTTCCACACTTCACATTTAAATTTTCAGTTCAAGCAAACATATCGAGTTCCCCCCCACACCCACACGCCGGTCAGGGGAGACAGAGAAAAGTGAATCATACATTTCACAATGTTGTTTTTTGACTACAGTAGCTGTTATTTTAGAGACCAAGAGTACAACACAAATAGAGGATTAATAAAAGAGAATATTTGTAGCTCAGGGTTAAATGAGGGGTCCTTGGTGCTCTTTGATCTTGGTTGTTTTCTTGCAGACCTTTCATTATTCAAATTAGGTAACATTATCGGTGCTTGTAAAGGGTTAACCCAGTGTTTCCCAAACTTGACAATTTTAAGGCATGTGGACTTCAACTCCCAGAATTCCACAGCCAGCAATGCTGGCTGTGGAATTCTGGGAGTTGAAGTCCACATGCCTTAAAATTATCAAGTTTGGGAAACACTGGGTTAACCCAACAAGTAAGAAAAGAACAGGACCAATCCCACCAACACTGACAGGGCAAGCCACCTCCTGACTATAACCTGAGATCAAGCTCCATTCCTTACTAGTACTGATTATGTTACCTAGTCTGGGTAGTGAAACATCTGCAAGAAAACAACCAAGCTCAGAGAGCACCAAGGAGCCTTCAGAGAAAGGATCTTCAAAGTGCTTAAATTGTTGCATAATAATTTTCCTGCTTTCAGCCAAAGCCCAAGTTATATCACTACTAATCAGATGTTCATATTTACAGAGCTTTTCAATAAAAAGGACAGGAATATGAACATGAATATACTAGAATATTATCATACAAAATATACACTTATTGAAATTGTTTAAAAATATCTTCTTCGTTTAACTTCAGAAATTCCTTAATGAAATAAGAAATTAAAATATTTTAAGTAATAAATAAACCTTATTTATTTTTCTTAATTTACTAATCAAATGGTTTTATTTACTACAATGTTACTCTGAATACATTGCTGAAGGGCATTATGATCTTTTAAGTACATGTGGCATAATATAGTTACAAAAGGTGAAAAAGATAATTCATTCTATGGTCAATTTCCCTTATTCTAAGGCATAATTATGCAGTCAGTTCAATAAAGGATTTCTTTTTTTAAATGCTTTTGTTTGTTTCTATACACTTAAATGGAAATTTATTTATTAACATCAGGGCAATTATAGAAAGATTGTTCTGCACCAAAGCTGTTTTTACCTATAGTAGTCTAGACTGGTCATTTTTTGCAGCAGAAGGTTAATTAGTTATTTGAAACAATGGTAATAGTTTGCCAGGGTTGTAGAAAATCTAAAGGGCACCAGATCCTGTATCGAAGTTGGGGAACAAACTCTATTCTAATTAATTCTGTAATGTATTAGACTGTTGCAACATGATTAATAATCAGTTTGGTATTGATCGTTTGTGGGACTATACAGTTATTGTGCTAGCTGTGCGTTTTGGGATGAATACCCTTTGAACGGTGCAAGAGTATGAGCCGATTGCAGACTACAGGAACCATTTGTGCCTCAATTTGAGATGCAGACAACACAGACTCATCCCCAATAGCCTGTGCCTGCCTTCAACAGTGAAGGGACACAGGGCAGAAAACATCCTGCAGCCAAGAAGGCTCCACACACATTTGCACTATTCAGCTGACCCTGAGGACACAGGTAAACCTCCAAATGGCCTGAATAACTCCCTAAAACAGGGATCCCCAACCCCCAGTCCATGGACCAGTACTGGGCCACGGCATGCCAGCAACCGGTCCGCACAAACGCCATCTGCAGGATGCAGGCAGCACACAAAACCATATCCCCTCCGGACTGTGGAAAAACCTCTCTCCACATAACCAGTCCCTGGTGCCCAAAAGGTTGGGGACTTCTGCTCTAAAAGAATGCAAATGACCAGCTGTCTGCAAGAAATATAAATCCTTCCATTCCCCACCATCCAGTCAGAGCGGAAGAAGCTTCTTGGATGAGAAGTGAAACATCTTCAAAGAAAAACAAGGAAGTCCAGTTCCCTCCTGAGAAAGCACTTTTGGGGCTATCACAAGAAACCCATTTTGTTTCAGGCATTTCATTTAAGGAAGACTCAAGCTTGGGCTTTCTCATTACTGCTGCTTTTGAAATGCACAATCCCTCCTAAATTAAACAGTTATTTAACATTTTTGAATTATTAGTGCCTTCAAAAATATTTTTGCATTGAGTGTTCTAATAATGACTTCAATTGATTTGGGGATTTTCAGGGACGTTTTTTATATTGCATGTTTGATTCTTGGTAATCTGTAAACAGGTAGATGATTGCTATAAGCAATTTTCAACAATTGTTGCTAATTTACCT